AGAAAAAAAAATCTTAGACCACACTTATTGTGTGACGTTGAACTGGTTTGAAGTTGAGCCCTAGAAAATGATGGGTTTTTTTTATTTTAACGTCTCCAAGATGTTTCAGTGTTGCTCATTTTGCATCAAATTTTTGCAGAACAGTAAAAGTTCTTCCTTATTTAGGGAAAACTTGATGTCTTTGAATTTTTTTTCTTTTGTGCCAATCATAGCCTTCTGTACCTATGGATACTAATTTTCTTTATGTTGGATCAACCTTCCCGACCCCCATGTAGATCCTTTTCCATCAGCATTTACTCTGATTCTTTCTTTTCTTAATGTTTATTTTTGAAAGACAGATAGACAGAGTGTGAGTGGGGGAGGGGTAGAGAAAGGAGACACAGAATCTGAAGCAGGCTCTCAGCTCTGAGCTGTCAGCACAGAGCCCAAAGTGGGCTTGAACTTACATACTTAGACCACACTGCAAGATCATGACCTGAACCAAAGTTGGTCACTTAACCAACTGAGCCCCCCAGGTGCCCCTAACTCTGATTATTTCTTATGAAATAAGACCTTCCACAACCACAGGAAAACTAATGATGTTTGTCACTCTTTCTGTCCCCCTCCTGTCTTTTCTTTTTTTTTTTTTTTTAATGTCTTTAATTTATATTGACAGACAGAGACAGAGAGCGAGCGGGTGGAGGGGCAGAGAGAGAGGGAAACACAGAATCTGAAGCAAGCTCCAGGCTCTGAGATGTCAGCACAGACCCCGACGCGGGGATCGAAACCATGACTGTGACATCATGACCTGAGCCGAAGTTGGACACTTAATGGACTGAGCCACCCAGGTGCCCATGTCTTATTTTTCTTCATAGCATTTAGTACTATGTGTCACTGTGTCCCCAACACCAACTAGAACATAAACTCCATGAGGAGAGGCAATTTGTCCTTTTTTTCATTACCATGCCAGAACAGTGTATAGCATATAGTTGATGCTCAATAAGCATTTGACTGAATTATCTCAAGCTCTCCCTGTATGTCAGCAATTCAGTTTTCAGTTATGTATATTTTGTTCCTTGCTGTTTCTAATTTATGAAACTTGTTTTGTCAGCTCTATTTTTCTATCTTACTGTATTGTCTTATTTTGTCTTTGATTTCTTCTTTCATGAATTCCTTTTCTCTTTAATTTCCTTTAGAGCATAGGACATTTGTTGTGGAGGATGTATATTCAGAATCAGTTCTTTATCTGTTCTTTTTTTTTCTACAGTATTTTTACATAGTTTACAGGTAGCTTCTTTCCATCTTTCTCATGATTGGCACAAGACACTTTGTGGGCGCCTGGATACAGTGCGGGCAGTCTTCTGAACCTCTTGCCAATCTGAGCTCTTTTGTTCTCTCCTAGCTATTTTCATCTGAGTCCCTCCTTCTCAGGCTGTAAGTAAGTGTCAAAGTTTACCCTGTGTAGAGGAACAGGGTAGAACAGTTGCATACTGTAAGGCACTGTCTTTGGAAACAGGATATGCTCTTGATGAGGCAGAGTAAATTCAGGGCTCAAAGTATTAAAACAAAACTTAAGGGGCCCCTGTGTGGCTCAGTCAGTTAAGCATCCAACTCAATTTCAGCTCTGGTTATGATCTCATGGTCATGAGATTGAGCCCATGTGGGGCTCCATACTGAGCATGGAGCCTGCTTGGGATTCTCTCTCTCTTCCTCTCACTGTCCCTCCCCTACTCATGCTCTCTCAAAATAAACATTAAAAAAATAAAATTTGAGGAAAAAAGGGTAGTTATAAATCTAATCACTGCTGCCCATAATCTCCCTTTCAGGCAACAAGATATGGGGCTGTGGTACTAGTTCTCAACTACATATTGTTGTAGATAATTGGTTCTGGGGGATTGTGGTTACCCTTGCTGCTCATCTACTTTCCTCCTAGATGAAAAATCAAAATGGCCACTCCCAATAGCCATTTACTACCTTGGGGAGCATGACTATGTCAGTCATGCAGTTTGTGCACTGCATAAAGGTGCTCAGTTGAGAGGGGAGCAGGGCAGCTGAAATTCAGTTTACACTGGGATCTCTGATACACATGTCCTGGGATGGAGTTACATCTGTTAAGAGAAAGGACCATTTTTGCTGCACAAAGGTGCTTAGCCCTGTGCCCATGGGGTTGAGTATGCCCAGAAAGGGTGCCTTTTTCTAACTCACACAGATGTCATATGGGATGGCAACAGCCCTGCAGGAGATTAATGCCAGATGGTGGTGTGTGTGGTACGGGAAGGACTTCTACTCTGGAAGGATGTTTTCTGTCTTTTCCCCCTAGATGCTGACTCAACACTCATCTGATTCCCTCCAAATGCATTAGGTTTTTCATAATTTATCTACTGGCCTTATCCTCACCCTGTACAGCTTCTGGAATGCCAGAGTATTGGAGCCAAATACAAATTCCAAGGAGTTTTTTTGTCTTACTGCTGCTTTTCAGAGTTTATGGTATGAGGTTGTATTGCTTCCTCTGTTTGAATGCTGCTGGTGTCGTTTTGTTGACCCTTCTTCCCTCGTTTCTCATTCATGTTGTTAGTTTCTAAAATAGAGTAGTTTTATGATCTGGCTGCATACTAACATGCTACTTCCAGCCTCTCCTTGATTTAAAAGTGGTCTCTCTGTGCTGCTATAATTGTGTGGTCATATTGTGTTGACTCTTCCACTTTTATATGCCATTTATTTAATATTCATGTTCATGAAGGGCTCCAAGCATGCTGAACCTACTCCTTAGAGTTCTGGTGAAAAGTTAAATTTATTCAGGTGTTCTAGAAATATTGTTTGGTGTCCACAAGGCACTGCAAGTTTATCACATATTGAGGATGACATAAAGATGATCCCACACTCTGATTTTTTTAATTGAAATATGACTTTGTCAGACTTAAAATGGAAGAAAATCTGGAAAACACCATGTTTCTTAAAATGATAGCTCTGGAAATGTAGTTGAATTTGATATTCAGTCAGGAGTTTCCAACAGACGTTGCTAGTACAATAAACTTACGCAGTGAATCTGCCATTGTGATAGACGAAGCTTTAAATCAGATTTAAATCTTGTCATGCCTGGATAAATGTGCTAATATTTTCAGTCAGTCTCTCATACAGCTGTTAAAACATTTTGACTCTATAGGCCGAATGGGACTTCTAAAATTCATATGAGTTCTGTGTTCTAAATCTTACTATGTTTTGCTTTTCTAGTTAGAAAACAGACATTGGTTTCTGTAGAGGTGTGCACAAGGATTACTGATCCCAACATCTTTCAGTACAATAAATTTTGAATTTCATCAAAATACAAACTTGGTACATATGTCACAGATTCTGAATGCCTTCAGCAACATGGGAAAACTAGAATTCTGCATATGTAACATTTAAACAGGAAACTAAAACTCATTCAGAAAATATACATTTGCATTTGATGTTTGATTTCAATAAAGACAGTGACAGGTTTCTGGCAACTTTGCTCAGCTTATCAAGCTTTTTAAAAATTCTTAAAAATACAACACAGTTTACTTTACATTTCAGGAAATATTAAATATTCCAGGTTTTTTTTTTTTTTTAATTCTTATTTCCAGTTTCTCCAACTAGGAAGTGTCAGTCTCTCCATGGGCTTCAAGTTTAAAGTTTTTTGTATGCTTCTTTTTATAAACTAGGTTCATTATCTTTTCATAAACTCTCTTAATTTATTAAGTAATTATCTTCTTTGTCATACTCTGCTCCTCAAGATGTTCTAAAGGTTAGACTTCACCTCATTCTTCTCAATTTTGCTAGCCAGTGCATATATGATTTTTATGTGAGAACCAGGCAGTATACTTCAAAGTTAAGAGAAATGTACCTGACTCTGCAGATTTTTCCATGTGCTCAACCATCCATTTATTTGATATCAATCTGACTTGTTTCTGAAGCCACTTGTCCTGTCTTCCTTAGGTCCTTTCAAGACTCTACAAATGGACTGCATTCTTTGTGTAACAAGTTTTACTTCTCAGGTGATACTCCGAATGGTCAGAAAAATGATTCTTCCTACAGATGCTGGCAAGAATGTGGAGAAACAAGAATCCTCTTGTACTGTTGGTGGTAATGCAAATTGGTGCAGCTGCTCTGGGAAACAGTGTGGAGGTTCCTAAAAAAATGAAAAGTAGAACTACCCTACAACCTAGCAATAGCACTGCTAGGAATTTACACAAGGGATACAGGAGTGCTGATGCATAGGGGCACACGTACCCCAATATTTATAGCAGCACTCTCAACAATAGCTAAATTATGGAAAAAGCCTAAATGTCAATCAACTGATGGGTGGATAAAGAAGATGTGGTTTATATATTCAATGGAATACTACTCGGCCAGGAGAAAGAATGAAAATCTGGCCATTTGTAGCAATGTACATGGAAATTGAAGGTATTATGCTAAGTGAAGTAAGTCAGTCAGAGGAAGACAGATACCGTATGTTTTTACTCATATGTGGATCTTAAGAAACTTTAACAGGAGATCATTGGGGAAGAGGAAAAAAAAAGGTCACAAACAGAGAGGGAGGCAAACCAAAAGAGACTCTCAAATACAGAGAGCAAACTGAGGGTTGAAGTAGGGGGTGGAGGAGAGGGGAGAGGGGGTATGGGCATTGAGGAGGGCACTTGTTGGGATGAGCCCTGGGTGTTGCATGGAAGCCAATTTAACAATAAATTGTATAAAAAAACAAAGCAAAAAAAAAAAACCAACCCAGAAAAATGATTCTTCTTAGGTTCATGGCTCAAACTAATGGGCTGTACTATAACATTCAGTAAGGAAATAAATTGATAAAACTTAAACGTTTAGTCTATTTTCTATTTCTATTAAAGTTTGCTTAAGTGAATTTCATAGAAAAATATGTGTAATGGAAGGTTCCATATATTCTCTTCCATTCTATCTCCAGGTCAATTAAATGGAAATATTCAGGAATAATAAACTTAATATTGTGAACATGAGAACAAAAAGATGTGTCCAGATACATTCATTAATTCAGAAATAAAATTTAATGATTTTCAATTTTGTTTTTACTAGTACAAACTAGTTTAATAGTCCATACTTCTGAAAAATCTTACACATGCCATATTTTTAGTAAGGGCTCAAAGAAAAATGTCTAATCAGGTATAGATTACACTGTATTTTAGTCCAGCCCCTAAAGTCAGCCCAAATACAAAACTATAGTCATGTTTACAAGGTAAAAGTTGTAGGGTAGCTCTGTACACTAAAATATCATCAACAATACAGTTTCTGAGAAGCAAAACATTAGCTGGCAGATTTGCTTTTATGATTTTTAATATCTTTTTTTAGTATAACAATGCCACTAAGTTAAGTTCACCATTCTTTCAATATATTTTCATTCCCAGTATGCACCACTAGCTGGAAAATTCATTTTAATGGCAGTAAGGTAGGAATTTAGTCCAAAGAGCAAAGATTCATTTTGATGAGTTATTTGATCATAAAACATGCAGTGGTGAACCTTCAATTCATAAGCTATTTCTGTCATTCAGTAAAGATTATTATTGTTGTTGGCATAATAATCATCAGAACTTTTTCTACTTAGTTAAAGCATTTCTTACCATTAGATAGGCTATGGCGTGCAAGAGGTCCAGTGACTCTGCCAAGGATGTGGCAACCACCTCACCAACATACTCAGTCCATACATTAATGGTGGCCTGAACTAAGCTTCAATACAAAATTTAACACACTACTAGAAAACATGTCTCAACAGAGCCTCTTACACGTTTCTCACTAGCTAACCAGACATGGGTCATCATTGCTTGGTTTGACTTCTCCTTCTAGCAGCAAATTCATCACAACCTTTGTCAAATAGCTGCATGTTCCTTTTTTTCCCAGCGGGGGAGTGTTGTAAAAGGAAGTCATGTCATCCTACAAAGGAAAACAGTAAGCAAGTCATTTGATTTTTGTTTGTAAAGAGTTGACAGGTAAAATCAATGTCAGCCTGGGGGGGAAATAAATTCACCGAAAGATTTCCTTGTGGAAAACAGAATTTTCTTGAGCTTTTCTTTTGTTTTCCTAAGGCATCTTCTCAGCATATAAAACAAAGACAGATGTTTTTAGTATTCTCCTCTTTGCTGATAATTTTTATTTACTTAGGGAACCTTTTTACAGATGAGCATAAAATATTAAACACAGAGCCTGGAAGGGACTATATTAGGTAGTACACACAGCACCAAGGTAGCCTGTTACGCATTCCCATCCTCCCCAGAATTTAATTTTATAGCCTTCTGGAATCTATGGCTCCTCTCTGGTAAAACACATTTTAACTGCTAACTATATAAAGAAAATTTATGTCTTCCTAGTTTTCTTTTTAGTCAGAGCTCATAGCTGAACTGACTAGTAATTAACTAAAACGTACCACTAATTCCTCAAAGAAGCCAGACTTCCTCCCTGCCCCTCGAGTACTACATTTTGCACTCTATAAATCTGTTTTGTAAGTTAAATGAGAAGAGATTAGGGATATTTTGAAAAGTGGCAACAATGAAAAAACTCTACAAAAGGCTGTTTTATCTACTTACTTGTTTTTCAACTTCCTTTAGTTGACTCTCATCTTTTTGAAATTCATGAAATGCTTCTTTCACCAGTTTGTCTAGATCTACTTTGTCTTGAAATTCCAGCTCAGGGTTTCTTTCCAGTACAATGGATACAACCATTAGTAACTAGGAGAGAAAGACGTTGAAAGCCAATTATATGAACCATAAAAGCAACATAGCCTGGACATGTTTTCATTCTTTAGTCAGGTTGATGGATGATCCTCGTATTCCATAATGTGTTCTGTACAGTGATGGGTTTTTGGATCATTGTGAATGGAATCTTTCTAATCTTAAAAATTAGTAGCATAAGTTCTATTTGGAAACTGTACATTTTTTTCATTGTGTATATCTTTGTAGCTGAGCAGAAATGTTTTTTAGTCACTTAACTGCAACTAATAACTTTGAAAAATGATTTTCCTAATCCTATCATTAGTACATAGTGCCCTATTCACCCAAAGCGCCTGAATATTCTGACCTTTGGGCATTAATCCTTGTTGGCAAGACACCAAAACCAGTGTCCAGTGGAGCAGAGGCTACCCTAGAAGAGGTGGTAGGCAGCAAGGTCAAAGAAGGCAGGTAAGTTCAGTGGAGACTCTGATCAAATGACTTGGAGCCCAGCACCCTAAATACTGAGTATAATACTGTGACATCACAGTAGTTTCTCAGGGGATGCTTACGTTTTAAAAAATACACCTAACTCTGACCTCTTTATGGTATGAGTACTGTTTGGTCTGCATGTCTTAGTTTAATGCATCATCCTATTTGTCTATTTCATACATTCATCCTAAGTAGTAACATTCATTTAAATTTATTTTCTTTTTTTAGGGCACCAGCGTGGCTCAGTTAGTTAAGCATCTGACTTTGGCTCAGGTCATGATCTCGTGGTTTGTGGGTTTGAGCCCCATGTTGGGCTCTGTCAGAGCCTGGAGCCTGCTTCAGATTCTGCATCTCTCTCTCTCTGCCTCTCTCCAACTCATGCTCTCTCTCTCTCAAACTCTCTCTGTCTCTCTTACCTACAGAGTGTAAGTGGGAAAGGGGCAGAGAGAGAGAGAGGGAGACACAGAATCCAAAGCAGACTCCAGGCTCTGAGCTGTCAACATAGAGCCCAATGCAGGGCTTGAACCCACAAACCACGAGATCATGACCTGAGCCGAAGTTGGATGCTTAACTGGCTCAGCCACTCAGGTGCCCCAGTAACATTCATTTTAGATGACAAACTGTTACACGCAAAGACTGTGTCTGAGTACACAATGCTTGGTAAAGACTTTCTGATGATCATTATCACTTCTACTTTGCACATGAAACAGGAAAAAAGACCTCATAATTCCAAACTTGGGATTCGTCCTGACTGTACTTTATCTAAATTCTTCCAAAACAGAACCTGAAAGAACCAAAGGAAACACTTTCAGAAAAATTCAGGTCTCAAAATGTGGAAGATCCTGGGGCAGGGCTTTAGCCAGGAGAATATAAAGTGTTGCTCTAGTTCTGAAGAAAAATTTCTCCTGCAAAGGCACCTTCATTTTGGTCAAGAAGGACCTCCATGTACATTGTAGGTCCCAGATGCTGGGCACTAACCACTGGAAGGCTAACAGCACAAGGAAGGCATTCACCCTTTCAATAACCCCATCTCTTTCTGACCCCAGTCTGCCGGACTTCTCACATGCTGCTGATACTGTTTCCAAATCCTGGCACATTTGAGATAAGACTGAATCTCATTCAACTCTGGCTGTAGTTCCAGACACACTGCATTTCAGCTGCCACATCCAGTTCAGCACTTACTAAGAGCTTCTGTATCACTAATACATGTTACTCACCCAAAAGGGACACAAAGTCTGATGGAGACATTCCCAGAGAAAGAGACAAAGTGAAAACGAGCTATAAATTAAATCCATTCATTATGGGGATTTTTTATTTATCAGCATAATGTTTTAAAATGGCAAAAGAACATGTCTATACACGTGCATGGATGTGTGTTATTTTAGCATTTAACTTTATATAAAACAATGATACAGCACAAAATTACATGTCTTCTCTTGTTTACAGCAAGATGTTTGGAAAGGTGTCCCTCAAAATATCAACACCAATGATCTGTTGCTACTGGCTGTGGGGAATTTTTTTCTTTTTTGTTATTTTCTGAACTATTAAGATTTTTTACAATTGTCATGTGCTATTTCTCTAAACAGAAAAAAAAAAACCAACCCTGAAATTAAAGCATAGGATAAGATCACTTCCTCTGTTTTTTAGTGGTGTTAATGCACTTGCCCTTAATGGCAAGCTGGACAGTCTTTTTACACTGAAGGATTTAAGATGTTTAAATTGCCCATATACTTTGACGTGGGTCAAGGACGGCTATATCCTCCAAGACTCAACTAGAAGATCGGGTTAGGTAAGGAGTGGAATTCCTGGTCTCTTGGGCAGTTTCCTTTATGTTAGTTTTCAGGGAACAGATAAAAGCATTTCTTCAGCAATCTACATTTCTAAATACAAACCTCCACAACAATCTGTCTGTACTTTGGCTGGTCAATACTCCCCAACATGTCTTCAACAAGGAGAGAGAAATTCATTTCATACATGGTCATATCTGACAGGGTTGGTTGCTGAAAAAAAAAAAAACAACCTCGATATTAACATGCTGCATTCTTACACTGTGGTTTCCACTTTATAGAGGAATTTCAGGTTAATCAATAATCTTTTTCAGTTTCTATAAAACCTTAGAGAGCATTTTCAGCTATATGACTGGATTTAATATATGTCAAACTACTGAAGCCAACCAGCTGACTACTGTGATAAATTAAACAACCTCCTGTTCTAAGTGGTTATCTTCACTATACAAATGTTAAGGGAGAGGGGCTATATTGGAAATCCACTTCAATACACAAAAGGAACAGCCAAAAATTGAGACAACAAATAGAGTATATATTGCTTTCAGAATTAGCACAAGAAGTTATGCTTGCTGTCACACTTTACCATGTAAGTCACCTGCTACTGATTTTACATCATTCTGTGGCAGATCTTTTCTGAGAAGCAGCACAGAAATGCATACAAATAAGCAAAAACAACATTACATGTAGAAATGGCAAGAAAACACAGAAAAAAAAAGCAAAACTAAAATAATTTACTCTACCCTTTATATTTCATTTAAAACAAAAAGACTGCATGGTCTTCCATTCACTTTTTACAAACCAAATGAAAGCAGCAAATAAACTCAAATCCAAATCCAAATTTAGGCATGGTGACTACCTCTCAAGGGATTGAAGAGAAGGCTCTAAATGTTAGGTTTGTATGTTGTAAAGCAGATGGAGTCACCATCAGAGATGGAGAAATGATGAATCATACTTATTTGCTTCTACCTCGATAATGATGTACAATGAACTTCATCACAGCCTCAGAACAATGTGAACCCACGAACCGTGAGATCATGACCTAAGTGAAACTCGGACGCTTAACTGACTAAGCCACCCACGCGGCCCTAAATACAACCTTTAAGCAAAATATCCATTTGGTAAAGCAAGGCTTTTGTATAGAGAGGCACTAAAATTAAAGTAACTCAGACTGGGAAAAAATATTTCCAATCCAATTGATTAGGTTTCTTACTTTCCAGTATTTCCTCCCTTCAGGTATCTATCTCTATACCCTTCCTTTAAATACTCTTAAAAAAATGGGATAAGCAGAAAGGTTATTTGCAATGCAGAGGGGGAAAGAATTCCCTATGCCCTTAGGTCCCTTTAAATGATGTATATATAATGGGGCTGTACCTGTGGCAAATGCTTCCCAGCTACAATGATTCCATTGGGAGTTCGCTCCAGGATCTGCCATACTCTGTCATAGAACCCAGCGGGAGTTCTATTCAAAGACCCATCAATCTGACGCCTGTTCATCCAACATCTGTAGACCAAAAGAAAATGCCTCAGAGTTGGAAAACAAGCTTGTTCTGGTAGGGAGAAGGGCTTTCAATATGGATAAATTGTTCCAATAGAGTAAGCAATAAAAGCCAAAATCCATCAATGATGCAGATCTACCATGCGTTACAGAGGTTACTAAATATTTCATAGTGAAATCAGAGCTTGCAGGATAGGAGAAAATCCCCCAAGATTTTAAAAAATTTAATAGGCAAAATGATATTCTCTAGTAAGTTATAAGGTTGCTCACTATAAGATCAAATGACTTCCTAATATGCAAAGAAGCTCCATTTAAAAACATAGAAGCAGCCAATTTTGAAATAACTTCATGTGGTTCTTACATGCAATAAAATGTAAACTTCACGAATGCATGGATAGCATATGGCTTGATCACTCTTATATACCTCTCCCAGAAAGATGCTTAATAAACATTTGATAAATAATGAAGGCTCAAAAAAGCATTATGTATCTAATGAAATATATCTTGTCTTAAACTTTAAACTTTACATTCATTTTTCTATTTAAATATGGCCAAAGTACCAGTGCTGAAAAATCAGCTACAAAATCTTACATGTCATATTAATCACACCATAGCAATAGCCAAAATTCTAGATCTCTTACTTCCATGGATTATGTATTACATCTTAAAGATATAATACTCACAAATTGCTAAAGATTCAGAACTTGGATAACTTGAAAAGAACATACAAATGACACAGTAGTATATTGTTCCAAAAGCTGAAGCTAGGCACAGATATACATTTTTTTCACTTGGTATTAAAATAGTCATCAAATGAAATGTGCCATCAACCACAAGGTAAGTATGTGACCAACAATATTTCTAGGTAGGAAAATAGCTGTGCAGGAGACAATATACTGAAAAAGATATTTTGTTTCTGATGGAAGAGGACCAATAAAATTTTAAAACTGCATAAATGAGTGAGGCATCTTTTTTGGATACACAGATTTTTTTGGCAAGCCTAGACTTGCGTGGCTGGGTTCAGTGATGTGCCAAACAGAAGCCCAGAGGTGTAGGGTTCCTTGGTGATGTTTTACTTTGGATAATGGATGTGCAAACTGAATACCCAATATTCTGCATGTGATTTTTTTTTCCTATTCCCTTTGTTTGGCAATAAGAAAAAAAGTATTTTCAGATTTCTATACAGTCATGGTTAATATTATAAAAAGGAGAGTTTTGCTTAGAACAACAAAGTAGAAATGTGTAAATAACTCATAATGGAGATGAAAAATTATTTTTGAGGACCTCTCTTATTTTTTCGGCTTTTAATTTTGAAAAATTTTAAACTTTTACAGAAGAGTCAAAAACTAATTCACAAAGTTTCTGTATACTCAGCCTCCTCTACTTCTGTCATATTACATAACAACTATCAGAATCAGGAAATGAACATAGACACAATACTATTAGTTATGGACCTTATTCAAATTACCATTTGAATGACATTTTACCACTAAAGTCCTTGTTTTTTTTTTTTTTTTTTTTATTATTTCTAGGAGAGAGAGAGACAGCGTGAGCAGGGGAGGGCCAGAGAGAGAGGGAGTCACAGACTGAAACAGGCTCCAGGCTCTGAGCTGGCAGTCAGCACAGAGCCCGACGCGGGGCTCGAACCCACGAACCGCGAGATCATGACCTAAGCGAAAGTCAGACGCTTAACCGACTAAGCCACCCAGGCGCCCCTAAAGTCCTTGTTTTGATTGTGGGTCCAATCTAGGACTCCACACTGCATTTGATTTCCAAGTCCCCTTAGGTTCTTCCAATCTGTGATAGTTCCTCAATTTTCTTTCATCTTTCATAAACTTAACATTTTAGAAATGTCAATTATTTTATTGAATGTACCTCAGTTTGGGTTTATCTGAGGTTTTCTCATGATTAGACTTAGATTATGCATTTTTGGCAAGAATACCTGGAAGCAGCTGTGCCTTTTTGGTATATCATTATCAGGGAGTACATGCTACTGATGTGTTTTATTCCTGGGATGCTAACCTTGATCATTAGATAAGGTAAAGTCTACCGGGTTTCTTCATTATAAAAAGCATCTTGAGTGGAAATACTTTTAAATTATACAAATTTTTCATTTCTCAACCTACTTCCACCCACTAGATTTGAGCATCCATTGATGGTTCTTGCTTGCAACAATTATTACTATTGTATTTGTCTAATGATGATTTTCTATTTCCATCATTCCATCTATATTTATTAATTGGAATTCTACTACTAGGAAGAATCCCTTCTATCCCATTTATCTATTTATATCAGCATGGACTCATGGACATTTATCCTATGGGTTCTAATTTAGTACTATTATTATCCTTCAGTATGTCTCCAGTATCCTTCTAACACATCTCTGTAATTTTCTGGACAATTATCTTACTTCTGGTACTATAAGATGCTCCAGGTTCATCTTGTATTTTTCCCACCCCAGCCCTGGAATCAACCATTTTTTTCCCCATGGAATGTTGGCTCCTCTTATTAAAAAATATTATTTAGAAATCAGTATCTGGGCACTAGGTTTGCTCACTGCTGTGGGAGTTTCCTACTTCTGGGTCCTCTCAGTGGACAGAGCCAAGAAATATATGGACATATACTCATATATACACACATATCCAGGCTTATTTCTGTAGTTGTCCATCTGTGTGAAAACCATGAATTCATACTGACATTTGCAATTTCAATCCACCACCACAGATATATTCTAATCCTTCCCCTTCCCTCATCTGTAATTCTTTTTTTAATGGTTATTTATTTTTGAGACATAGAGAGACAGAGCTTGAGTGGGATAGGGGCAGAGAGAGAGGGAGACACAGAATCCGAAGCAGGCTCCAGGCTCCGAACTGTCAGCACAGAGCCCAATGTGGGGCTCGAACTTACTGACCACAAGATCATGACCTGAGCTGAAGTCGGCCGCTCAACCGACTGAGCCACCCAGGTGCCACCCCCACTCTCCCCCTTTCCTCATTTGTAACTACATTCTCTGACGAAGAGAAATCCGGCTCTCATTACCCACAATTTATTTACACAATATGTACAGCAATTTCAAAATTACCAATCCTTGTCTCTGTGAGAAAAATACTTATTAACTAATAAGTACAGTATTTGTGTGTAGCTCTTTCTCCCCCCCCACCCCCTTTAACTTTATAGTATCCAGAAATGTTTTCCAAAGGTACTTAGGTTAATTCTTTTCTTCTCCACTCCTTTCAGGGTGGGAATATTATCCATTTGTAACACAGTTAGGTTCATTTGTTACTATTCATATTGTTTTATTTTTTTTTTTCATATTTGGATTAATTTTAGTTATTTACATTTTGGGCATATAAAATATTACCAAAGTTTAAGAATCAGAGCTATTTTAAAAAGGTATATTCAGGGAATTACTGCTCTCCCATTCAACCTTAAAACCCTGTACCCAGCTGTCTTTTCTTTCCACCCTGTTCCTACCCACTCCCTGAAGGTAACCAATCTCTTTAGTATCTAATTTAACCTTCCTGTATTTCTTCTGTACAAATGAGCAGATATCTCTTTCTTTCTTACATGAAGAGTAGCATACTACAGATGCTCTTTGTATTTTGTTGTTTTCATGTAACAGTATAGTCTAGAAACGATTCCATATCAGTTTAGAGACAACTCTCCTTTTTTCCCCACAACTGCCTTATACTCCATTGTGTGCATGCAACACAGCTTATTCAAATAATCTCCTATGTATGGGGATTTAGGTAATGGGCATTCCAAAATTTATTATTATAAATGATGCAATGAACAATATTGCATACATATGTATTTTCATATGGTTGGAAGCACATCTTCAGAGTAGATTCCTAAAAGTCAAAGTCTACATATAAATGTAGACTTGTTTTAGATGTTGCCAAATTCCCATACCGAAGGGCTGTACCCACCAGCTACATATGAGAGTGTCTGTTTCCCTTCAGCCCCACCAAATGTTTGTCATGCTGCTTAACTTTTGTCAGATGGATGAGAAATGGTATCCAATATGTGTTTTAATTTACATTTCTCTAATTATGAGTTAGTTTAAATATCTTTTCAAATATCTAAGACTCATTTATTTATGTTTTAAAGGAATCGATTAATCATATTTTTTCCTGGTCATCTCTTAGGTTATTGGTTCTTTGTCCATCAGTTTTTAAGAATTTTTGGACATTAGCTCTTTGTAGACTATGTTTTGTTCCAGTTTCTCAGCTGTCTTCAGAGATTGTCTATTTTCTTCCATTTTTAAATTTTTATATATAGTCTTATTAATTTTTTAATGCCCCAAATTTAGGCCATAGTTAGAAAGCCTTTTCCATGCTGAGGTTAAAGCAGAATTTACCCATGTATTCTTTCAGCAATGGTACGGTTTCATTTTTTATATTTAGAAATCAGATCTGTTTAGAGTTCATTCTTGTGTATAGTATAAAGTATGTATTTGATTTTATCTTTTCCTAAATGGCTATCCAGTTGTCCCAACACTCTCTATTTAAAAAGCCCATCCTTGACCCAGTGATATGAGACATCACCTTTATCACTGGTTAAATTAAATTTCCATATGTGCTTAAGGTCTATTTCTGGACTTTCCATTCTGTTCAGCTGGCCTCTTTATGCTTTCATGTGCCAGCATTATACTGTTTTTATCACAGAGGCTCTATGGTATATTTCACTGTTAGGGCAAGTCCCTCTTTTATGTTCTGATTATTCTTGCATATTTGTTTCTCCATATGAAGCTTAGTATTAACTTGTCTAACTCCATAAACAGCTTGTTGGAATTTTTTTGAATTGCATTACATTTATAACTGATATCTTTTTAATGTTGAGTGTGCCTAAGAACAAAGATGTCTTTCCATTTGCTCAAATCTACTTTTATAGAAGACTTGTTTTCTAGGAATATAACTATACCACCTTAGAAAATATCAGACACACAAATAATTACGTAAATAATTATATTAAACTTCTTTCTGTAATAAAATATTCTTCAATACATCACACAAATATTTGTTTTGCTCTTATTCTAAGCTTAGTACAAATTAAGTCTATGAAACAGTTTAGCCCTGAAGAAGTTTATAGTCTACTTAGTGAGAAAGAGTCACAGGCAACTTATTTAAATAATGTTACCAAACACAAATCTTTCCATGCCAAAATGTGTGGAGGCGATGGTGAGTGCTACAAAGGTTCAGAAAGGGAACTGACCAAAATGGCATGATGGAGTGTTACAGTTTGCACAAAATAATAAAATTAAAAAACAGTGATAAATTATACCTGAAAAAAGTATAAAATTAAAATCAACAGAAAATCACAACTGAAGATAGACATTTTACTTAGTGTCTCTGTGTATACTGTCTACCTAGTAAGGTGGCCTCTGGTACTCTGCTGCATTTTATTTCTTATTACTATCTTATTAATTCATATACATATCAAAGTATGATGTTACTGTAAGTCCAGAATGTTCTATAGGTAATAAAGGGCCCTCATTACCCTCCATTCTGTTGAGGCTGGAGAATATCCAACAGAAGCTGTTTAACTTCACTAGGTGACAGCTGATACAAGTCTCTCGCTGGCTTATCTCCACCACGGATCTGCAGTTCATACTTCATAGCATGGATGATCCACCTGAAACAAAACAGGAGAAGCATAATCAATAACTCTTAAAATGAAATCATCTCCTGCTTCTCATGACAATGCCCCTGTTAACAGCACTGACCCATTCAAAGGAGAACGAACAAAAGGCCATTTGAATTTTCTGAACCACTGATATAATTACTTCCATCAAGTTTATATGACATGATAAGATTCTTAAAAAAGAGGTCTGCTCTTGCATATGTGGTTAGGTAGTAAACATGAAAATAGGTAAGGAGTAAAGCATACGGTATACAATAGCTGCTACACTATTATTTTCATAATATTAGATCTATGCAAAAAACCAAATAGGATAAAAACAATTCATTTCAAGAAATGGGCTGAGATATGCTGTTATAGAAATGTTCCTTTCCCAGGAAGGCCAAACAAATGCTATCACCTATTTTCTTTACTTTGCAGTCATTCCCTTGTGATGGGAGGGCGCAGAAAAGTACATGACTTTGAAAGAAAAGGGCGCAGTTAGTTTTAACTCAGTCATAATAGTATATTAGAGAACACACTATAACAAGAAGATTTCAGAAGAATCTTCTTTATAGATATTTAAATATAGATATTTAAATGCTGTTCATGTATCTATTTTTAAATAATGTATTCTTTAATAGATATTTAAATGCTTTTCATAATTTTTTTTAAATTGCAGAAGAGGCTTTAATGTAATTACTTAGGCAAGCATTTTTGGAGTACTATTTGTGTGCCTTGTATTTTCCAAGGTAAAATATTTAATTATTTTATATGTAAGTTATTTTACTTTTTAATTCCAGAAGCTTTTAATAAGTATTTTTACAGTTTCATCTCATTTCTTTCATTTACTGTATTCTGAGGAAAGAACTCAATAAACTAGTTATGAAAACTAAAGAAAATCATGGAATAATATTGTGCCTTAGGGAACCAGAACTCTATACACCATTAGGAAAAGCTAGGGAATTAGTTTTACACAGCAGATTCCTATGCTTTATCCTTAAATCCTTCGGTGAACACTGAATAACAAACAGAGACAGTGCAACTCAGCAACTAGAAAGAATGTGCCTTCATTCACCCATGCTACTTTGTCTCCCAAAGGGGGACTGTGCAGCCAACCTACTGGGAGAAACATCTAGTTACAGCAGTAAAGATTAAAGTGACTAACTTACTGCACTCAAACACGTCATTATCTTTCCCCTGATACACTTCTCTGAAAGACAGCCCACAAAGCTACTGCAGGTAGAGATGAAAAAATTGGGTGGAAATAATCAAAAGATTAAAGTCCTTTCTGCCAAGGCTGCTTTGCAAAACAATAGTGATGCCTCCTCATGGGATACCTTTAATGTCTCTCAGAAGAAAAAAATAGGAAACGTGAAGTCTTCCCAGTTGAGTCCAGGTGATACCAGCCAGGCATATATCCCTGCCTGCTGGGCCAGGCCACAGGGGCACAAGGGTCCCTGGATCCCTGCTCTGTGACTGCTCCAATTTCACTTCCTTCTTCTGGGGCAACTCTCAGCTTTTTCCTACCCTCTCCCATATTCTTTGTGGCATCATTTCTGGAAGTTAGGAATTTAACTAGACTAACAGTTAATTGCACAGTATGTGTTGAAGACCACTGACATGCATGAGAGATACACAAGGATGGAACATAACAATTTAAAAAATACATTATTATTACTATTACTATTGATAATAAATAATACATATTTAATAATTGCTCATTGGTGAGAACAATAAAGATGACAAAGCATTTGCAAACAATAAAATAAACAAAACAACAGAACATGTGACAGAATAAAGATGTATGATTTATATTTCTCTTATCAGTTGAAAAGAAAAGCTAGACTAAACTTACGTTATTTACAAAGACTGGAATGCCTTTGCTTCTTCATTATTATGAACTGTATTTAGTCAAAATGTTTTCAGCATAAAAGCCACAAGGATATAGTTACTTTGGCTGCTCTGATGTTAAAGTTGCTTATGAAATTACACATTAAAGTAACATGTCAGTTATAAGAACTGCTCCATGGACCTCTCTTTAAATAAAAAAATTATGTTTTTAATTTTATAGATTATAAATGTCCTCTATCATTTTGTTTATTTAACATTTACATTTGAGGCAACTCAGTATAAAAGAAAATCAAATTAAAAATCTAAACACCTGACTTTTAGTCTCAATAACATGAAAAGAAAGAAAGTGGGGTTGGATGTCTTGTTCTAAGTTAAAAGTGACTTAAAAGGCAACCAATGCCATGTGTGTGCCTTGTTTGGGATCCTGTTTTGTTGTTTTTTTTTTTAAGTTATTATGGGGACAAATAGAGAAATCTGAATAAGAACTAGATATTAGGTGATATTAAGGAATTACTGCTAATTTTGTTGGGGGTGATAATGGTATTGTGATTATTGAGAAGATGTTCTTTTTAAGAGATGTATACTTATTAAAATATTGAGGAATAAAAGCAAGAATATCTGAGATTTGCTTTGTAAACTACAGCCAAAAAAAAAGAATAGATGAAGCAAATACAGCACATGCATATTGCTAACAATTGCCTATGTCCATTTAAATAAAAGGCATGTGGGAATATACCATATTATTCTATTATTAAACATTAAAATGTTTTAATAATGAAAAGCAAAAACAATAAAGATAGGATTAAATACTAATTCTGTCACTTACTGACTGTGCCCCACTGGCAAATTATTTTGCAAATGGGAACATTATTATTACTTGCTCAGCTCATTTTATGGAATTATTTGAGGAACAAATAAGGTAATGTATGTTAAAAAGCTTTTGAAATTACAGTCATAAAAAATATTAGCAAACTTCTTTTATTTGACCTCTGAGAGACTCAGTTTGGAGAAAGGTAATAAAACTTTTAAATTCAAATCTTAGAATTACTTAAGCAAGAGCCACATCCACTTAACTTCAGGAGGTGTCCTTGTCACTAAAAATTTTTAAATGCTAACATTCTAAAGTCCTCCAAAACTTGAGTTATTAAAACAGAACATACTTATCACATTTACCTTTTAAAATCTTTAATACCATTAAAAAAGATAGAGATATAAACATTTCCCTCAGACTTCTTCCTTCTGTTTACAAAATCTCAGCAGTCTTGTGAGCCAAGTTATAGAAAATATTGCACTCAACAGTCACCAAAGAAACAAAGTGACTGTTTTTCATTCATTCCAGTACGAATGAATATAATTTATCTGTCAGATTATTAAAATACACTTATTCATTCAAAAATATTAGCCAAACTAATCTTTTTAGCTTGGAATTCTTCAAAGGACTAAACCATAGCCAAGTCTTAGACATAAACTACTATCAGCAGCAGTCAGAGACAGAGAAAGTAAATTACCAAGTGAGTGATGATGTTCAAAAATTCAAAGGCATTTAATCCATTTTTAGAACTACTAATACAAAAGGGCATCAGTTCTTTTGCATGAAAATATCTTATTTCTTACCCTCATTCCCACTAACAAAGTCACCAAATCTGATTTGACAATTCCAATGTAAAAGCACTTAACGCAAAATGGGGAAAGCAAGCAAGCAAGCAAATGTGGAAGGTCAAAAGAATGAAGATTGTCCTTGGACCACATCCGTATAAATTCAGTCTGTCAAAAGAGCCAGGGACATGCTCTATTTGCCAATAAGCAAATGAGAAAGTGGCAGATACACACGACTGACCAGATCAACCTTCATATGTATCAAGGTTTGACTTGAGGACAATGAATTCTTCAGCACTGCTGGAAAAGTATGAAAATGTGGGCTAGTATTCCTATATAGTCCTAGGGATAACCTTATCCTTCTAAAAACTTTCTTGTTGTGAGGTTAGTAAGCATATCGTGTATGTATCTGTATTTTTCTTTCTAACATGCCCCAATCAAGGAGTCAAATATACAACGAAGTATATGGAAATCTGACATCATTGGTAAACCAGGACAGCTGACATTTTTTGAAAACATGCCACAAAGAACAGCACTGATTCACAGCAAGAAACAATTTTAAAAATAATCATTTTAGGCCTATTTGAAGATACTCAGTGTTTGCCAAGTTTGGTGTTAAACAAGTGAATGAATAACTCTCTGCAAGCATTTACTAAGCCATATAAAAGGAGATGGGAAAATTGTAGGAAGGGACTTTTCTGCTTGATTCATACCAATACAGAGAGAGTGATAATTTCATAAGGCAAACTGAGCTTCCTGTACGGTAACTGGAGGACAATGACTCACTCACTCTACCCTGAAATAACCAGAATAGAGGTAGGGGAGCTCTATCATCTCACTTCCTCACTTCATATCAAATGTAAAAAACAAAAACCACTGAATGAGTATCAAGCCACGCCAATGAACTCAGAGCTCTAATTACCTCCTCTTTCCTTTGCAGCACAAGCAATGTTACAGTCTAGTACCTATGACATCAATAGCCTTCTCTAAGCACCAGATGTATGATCCACAGATTCAGTTGTGGGCATCAGAAGACAAGACATGCCTAAATCATAATTACTTACAGAGGATGTACTGGCAGTATGAAAAGCAGAGATGAAAAAGGATTGATAACATATATCCTCAGGGGTTATCTCCCACTAAAGCCTGACTGACAGACCTAGAGCAGAAAGCAGTTGATTGGAGGTCTTTACAGTAATGGGCCTGTCAGGAACTTGATCTATTTCAACATGAAAGCTGGAGCACAAATCAATAATGAGACAGCAAATCAAATCATTATCAGACTAGAATACCATTCCTGTGAGCAGGTTAATTTTGTTCACAGGAGTGCCTATCACAGTAATGTTGAGAAATCACACTGGGAGGATTAACCTTGGAAAAAAAAGAGAAAAGAAATACAGTAGTACTGGTTTAAAGCAATTGAGGCAGTGGGTGATGTAAATAAATAAATTTTAAAAAACCTGAAAGCCTCAGAGAGAAAGGTTAAAACAGAGAGACAAAAGTACACATAGGGTTGAGGAGTTCCGGGTACATGTGCTGTGACTAAGACAAATGTCCTTATTTCT